AAGAACCTCATTTGTTTCAATTTTTGGCACTGTTGAGTATCCCTCTGAATGATAACATTTTGTGATAGTTGCTTTTGAGGCAATGAAACTGGAGTCTTTTTCAATTTCTATACTTTTGGTTGTAGTGACATTTATCATCTTTCTTGAAAGGTTTCAAGAGCCCTCTTTTCTGTTGCAGTTCTTTTTGACACTTTATGATGCTACCTTTTGCCTTTATTGCTTTTTATGAGTTTGTGTAGTCTTCCTTTACTTGTTGCCTTACTTTATGATTTAGCTCACACAGAGTAAACCTGTCAATTATGTTTTCCCCTTTGAATTCTTTTTCTTGTGCCATGTGTTATGTGTTTCAGCAAATGTCAAAGTTAATTTTTGCAAGTTGCTCCAAGAGATATTTTAGTGTAACACTGAATCTGCTGCTAAGATTATAGGATAGAACCTATAATTTAGAATTTAGAATAACAGAGTTGGAAGGGACCTTGGAGGTCTAGTCTATATCCAGCTCCAGAGCTTTTCCTCTTGATGTTTTGTTTACCTTTTGTGGTAGAAGGTCTATGTAGAAGATCTATATTCAGATTTTTGCTAATGGACATTTGGATTTTTTCACATTGAGTGTTTTCTGAATCATCACTAGTTTGGTGCTCAGAGATTCCCTTCCCTCCAATGTATATAAGAATATGGGAGCCAATTCTTCTAAAATGATACTTACCTTCTGTGTCCTGATCCCATTCACACATTCACATATCACATGTGGGGTAAAGGTTTTATTTGAGTCTTTCCAAGCCCCAACTATTTTTTCCAAAAAATCCCAATGCCAGCAATCACACAACCCCCCAATTGTTCACAATTCAGTCCAGGAACAAACCCAGCATGAGTCCACAGGGCAAGACAAGTCCACAAGGCAGAGGCAATGCTAAGACAAGTCCATGAGGTAAAAGCAAAAACTGTGAAGCAAATATGTCAAAAGATCAAGGCACTAATCGGGGACAAGGTACACAGTCTGAGTCAGGAAACAAGATTCAAGGCAAGAAGAACAGAGGTTGATGAATGCAAAGCAAGGAAACAGATGTGTTGTTCCCAGTGTCATTTCACTCCACTCGCTAAGCTAAATAGCCACTCCCCAGTGCTTCCCATCCTGAGCGGCAAGGCTGCCACCTCACAATTAGCCTGTCTGACCTTTGTTGTCCTTGCCTTCTCTCAGCCCTACACGCTGTTGGATCAGGAAGAAGAGGCAGTTCTTCCTCATCTCCACTGGCCAGATGCAGCTGCATGCCCTCTCCTCCAAAAGCCTCTTGACGTCCCAGCTGCAGCTGGGCCCCTCCTATCCCTAGCTCAGTCAGCTACTCATCTGGTGACTCGTCCTGTGATTGCTCAGCAGTTCTTGGCTTTGCCATTCATGACTTAGAGTCTCTGACAACCCCTGGATGTTCCTCTACATCCCCCTCTGATAAACCTGGAACTGGCTCTTCCTTAGCCAAGCTGGTGTCTGGACAGATGTCTGGGAAAGCCATCACATTCTGTCACTTATGCACATATATTAAACATGAGTTGTTGTTGTTTTTTTTAAAAAAAGGGTTCCCCAAATAAAAGGAAATCTATTTGAGCTAATTAAAAATTTTAAAACACTCATTGATTAATTAAAGCTTGACACCTTGTCTCTAAGCTCAACTTTTACAATGAATTATTTTGTCTTTCACCAATTTTAAATAAAATTATTGACATTGCAATAATAATTTTATCCTCACAATGCTTTCACTGTTAAACCTTCAAGTATGCAGCCAAGACTGGTCACAAAACCCTTCAAACATCAGTTTATGGAAACTGAAATTTGGCTAAATCTTTTCAAGTCTTAGAATCCTTTTTTTTTTTTTTTGTGATCACAATATTTACTTGGACTTGACATAATCGTTCTTTTGTGTGAAATACTTCTATGATTACTTCCAAATTTGTAAGTTGGCACTGTCCAATATTTCCTTTTAGGTATGAAAAAAATCAGTTACAAATTTCTATTGAAGCAGATGTGTAAGATCCACAATTGGAGCCTTCTAGATAAATGGAATATTTGTCTGGACACATACAAAAACATATTTGATTGTAAAAAGAAAATCTGAGAGAAAATTAAAAGTTATGTACAAAAAATGATACTTATAATTGTTTTAAGTATTTTTTTTTATATGTATATTGCAAAGGATCAAAGTCTGCATTACAGATTTTTTTAAGGAATGATCTCAGAGAAAACTGCATAACATAGTATAGGAAATTTACAATAAGTAAGTGTATTAGAAAATATAGCATAAAATACTCTATTTTGTTCTATTAAATCTCTTTAAAATATGTTATAAATGGAGAGGGATGATAATATTGCCTTGCTAAATTGGAAAGCAAAATGGGGCAGATTTATACTGATTTATGAGTTCTATCCTTTTAAAGTATTTAGTATGATCTCATCTGCGAGCTTCATTTCGCCATTCACAGCACTGTTGGACTCAAAGGAATAAGTAATAATCAGAACAATAATTGCAACTTGGTCCCAGTCAAGGGTTCCAATCTCCTCTTCCAAGCATTTAAAGTTACTACTTAGTTCAGGTAAAATGTTATCTGCATCTCATTTGTACACATGGGAGCATGGAAGTGTTAAACTGCTCGTTTGAGAGCTTTTAAATGCACTCAAGATGCATTGAGAGCAGCAAACAAAATATAGTTAAGCTCAGTGCATTAGCATCATTTTCTACAAACGGAGGCCTTAAACAAAGTGAATGTCTTGTCAAAAGCATGGGTGAATTAAATGAACTCATCTGTAGACCTTCAATCCTGCAGAAGCAGAAGTAGAAATAGATTAGCAAAAAAGATCAAAGACAAGGCCCTGCCTTGCACTCTTCAAAAAGTCTTGAGGGACAGTCAGTGATTACCCTTTCCTACACCAGCAGGGAATTCTTAGAACTGTATTTTCAGCTCATCTGTATCTCTTCAGGTGATATTGTTTCAAAGAAGGTACCACAAGCATGCCTGCCATGCTGATTCTTGTAGCATGAGCAGAAAGAGTATGATTGAATTGAAATATTGGAATATTCTTTACTGGCCAAGTGTGATTGGACAAACAAGGAATTTGTCTCTGGTGCATAAGCTCTCAGTGTACATACAACAACAAAGTGGTTGGTCATAGATCATAAATCATAAGATGCAAACAAGTGATAATCATAAGATACCAATAGGAGGAGGTAGTTGGAAAGATGAGAATGATAATAGCAATACAGCCCCACTATAAGGATAAATATCTTTTGGCATAAGACAATGCTGTGGGAATTAGGTGCTTAGCAGAGTGATGGCATGGGGTGGTGGTGAGGAACTAACCAGTGGTAAAATCTATTTTTTTTACTACCGGTTCTGTGGGTGTGGCTTGGTGAGTGTGGCTTGGTGGGCGTGGCAGGGGAAGGATACTGCAAAATCTCAATTCCCACCTGACTCCTGGCGGAAGGATATTGCAAAATCTCCATTCCCACCCCACTCTGGGGCCAGCCAGAGGTGGTATTTGCTAGTTCTCTGAACTACCCAAAATTTCCACTACCGGTTCTCCAGAACCTGTCAGAACTTGCTGGATTTCATTCCTGGAACTAACTTTGTGTCTGGTTGTTTTGGCATTGTAATGCCCTCTAACAGCATCCTGAAGGGAGAAGTTGAAACATTTTATGTCCAGGATGTGTGGGATCTATAGATATAGGAGTTTCCATAAGTTATTCAGGGAATGTCTTTCTAGGTGATAATCAGCATCTTGAACTGTATCCAGAAGACAGTGTTAATATGATATTCCATCACATGTAATCTATGGAATGTCTCAAATGCCACAAAACACTGATAGGCTTGAATATTATTAACTTAATTGGAAGCCCTGGCCATCATTCAAGGAACTCAAGGGAAGAATGTAAACCATTAAAAAAGAAAGAAAAAAGACCACAACCAATTCTTAAAGAATCCTGGATAGAAAAGACTGTAGCTTACTATGAAATACTTCAAAAGAGAAAGGGGGAAAAAAGATTCCAATCAATCAAGTTCACCAGCAGTGATGCCCCCAAAGATTTAGGTCATGCAAAGTGTTTTCCTTTACACACACTCACATATGTACACAAGCACAACCTTCTTTGGTCCTCTGTAAGTTGCTAGGCAATGTGCATTCAGGTTTTTGAAAAGTCTAACATTGCAGAGCTAATTAAAAGTCAAAACAAACCTTCAACTTACTCTTTTTGTGTGATTCCTTGGCATCATTTTTCCATGAGGCTAATCATTCAATAATATATCCGAAAATAGTCTGGAGTGACCAAATTCATGAAAGATATCAAAGACTGCAGAGAATTCTTTGCTCTCTAAAAATAGGTGCCATGTTTTCCTAAATGTTTCTTTTTCAGCACATTATATAAGGATTATATATCCTGAAAAGCAAAGAAAAAAAAAAAAAAGTCAAGGTTTTGGTAAAAGGAACAGAAATGGTTATATGTTTTGCTACATTTTCATATTAATAATGTTATTCTTAGAAAGTACTGTATCTAATGAGAAGTATGTTGATATGGAGGATTTTTTTAAAAAAAATATGTAACAATATATTTTCCTATTTTCATAAACCAACAGTAGAGATTTTGTCATTATGTTTGTATGCATTTTCAACTGTTATGAATACAGTTTTAATATTTTATACACATCCTGCAATATTTCCTTCCTTCCTTCCTTCCTTCCTTCTTTCCCCCCCTCCCTCCCTCCCTCCCTCTCAATATTCTTATTTTTCTTCTTGAATATTTATCTTTTGCTTTCTCCTATTTTCTTCTCTTTACAAAAAAGAAGCAAAACAAAATTGAAAATTCATAAAAATGTTGTGATCTCCATTTAGGACTCATCACTTTTTGTGATGTTCAAGAACATAGTACAATGCTTTCTTTGTTCTTATCTGTGAATGGAAGACAACAAAAGCAAACATGGCAGGGGTGGGAGTACAATTTTTTTTCCCAGACTTTTTTCTTCCTGTAGAAGTAAAGGGGAGTTGGTAGCTTTTTCAAACTAAAAGTGTACTTCTTTCATTTCCCGTTTTCTGAGAAATCAAAGAAGATGGAATGTTCAAATCCCTTGCTTCTGTTAACTCTCAAGTCTTTCAGCTATTTTGAACAGATGTCAGATATAAAGACTGCCTGCCTTCAGATCAGATTCCTGTTGCCAAGTCTCGCGATCACTGTCCTAAACAGTTGATTATAATGTCAGCAGTCCAATTTGGAAGCTTTATAGAAGCAGCTGAACACTGCAGTTTCCTGAAGTATTAAATAGCATTGCGTGCTCTTTCTCTCTCCCTCTCCCCCTCTCTCAGTTGGCTTCTCTATAACGCGAATTGGGGTAAGAGATTCTCTATTTACATTGATCTCTATCAGCATAAGTTATAGTTAAGCTTGATATGTACAGGCTAAAATGCTATGTTCTGTCCATGTGTTGCTCTGCTGAGAATACCAAGTTTATTTTGCAAATGGAAATGATGAAACAAGAAAGCAGGCAGGTGTATTGAACCATAGTATTATTCAATGGATTCTGGGCTAAGTAAATTAAACTGAACTTTAATAAAATCATTTATTAATTTAATCACTTTCTGAATTTAAATTGGGGTCACATTGCCTTGTATATAGATTTCTTGGTTGACTAAAGATTTACAAGGAGAGGAAGCAATCATTGTGATCAATTTGAGTTGCTTCGTTGAATGATAATAGTGAAGTTTATTCTGCTTTACTTCCATGGAGTAAGGCTAAATGGAAACAAATCTTTAAAAATAAACAAATCTAAATTTATGTTTCAATTTGGATGTTATATGAAAGAAACTTTCTAATTACTTTTAATCTTATGAGAATGAGATAGATTTGTTTTGAATTGCTGGGGGTTAGCATGAGTCAATTTAAGGACACCTACAGCTAAACTTTATATATAAAGCTGTGTATATAATCAAATTCCTATTGACAAATGTTTGACTTCTGTACAACTATATGCTAAGATGCACACATGTGCACTTGCAGCATGGTTTAACCTGAACTGCTAATTGGTGGAAAATTAAAACAGTTCAAAAAGTGTTACATAGACCATTTGGTATGTACAACATTATGACAGGTTCCAATATGTATAGTTGATAGCTAACATTGGCTGCCAGCCAGCACATTGCTATATGTACTTGTGCAGTGTTCATATTAATAGAACAACAGCCTATGAACTTGACATGTTATTCTTTTCTTTTCCTGTCTTTTTTCTTTTCAATGGTGATTCCTTCATTTAAGCATGGAGGTCTAAATATTTTGCTTGTAAATTCCGAATTTATGGAATTAAACAGTAAGCATTCTATAGGTGTTGGAAGTAGCTGTACTTAACTGAATGTTTAGGTTTTCTCTGAAAGGAAAGTTTTGATTTGTTTCAAATCTAGATTCCGCATTCAACATACTTACTTGTAAATAATCCCATTAAATTCTATGAATAGAATATAATTTTTTTAGATTTTTTATTATATTTTTATGATTGGACACACAAGGAATTTGTCTTGGTGCATATGCTCTCAGTGTACATAAAAGAAAAGATATGTTCATCAAGAATCATAAGGTACAACACTTAATGATAATCATAGGGTACAAATAAGCAGTCAGGAAACAATATCAATATGTGGTTTAAATATGATGTAATTTAGAAAAGATGCAGACCAGTGTTTCAACATGTTTCCCCTTACTTTCTTAAGTAAATTCAATTGTTTTGATTAATATCTTAAACCATGAAGCAGTTTTTAATTAAATGTTTAATTTAGATTTCAATCCGTCTCTATATTAGTGGGACTTGCTTCAAAGTAGTTAGGATATCATATTTTTCCTTTCTAGTTTATATTATCATGTTATGAGAGCCAAAATGGATTACACCTATGGTAAATCTAAGCATGTACAATTCAAATCAATATCTTCCAACTGTAAATATAAGTGCTTGTGTAGTTTATTATAACACTGGAATCCAATGTTAATATTGATAGAAATATGTAGCCTTGATTTTTTTGGATGGGAAGAGGTGTCTTGTTTTGCTTTATTTGTAACATGTTTCTACCCTCATCTAAAAGTAATCACTATCAAAATTCAAAAAAGACGTACTTTTAGGTAGATATAAATAGTAGTGTGTTTCAAAAAAAAAATTTTTTTTTAAAAGTTACCATATTTTTTTGAGTATAAGATGTACCTTTTCCCCCCTAAAAGAGGGTGAAAATGTTGGTGCGTCTTATACACTGAATACAGCCATTTTTGGCCTCCCGAAGCTCCACACCACTCATTTCATTTTTGAGAAAAACAGCAAAATGTCCCAATTTTTGCAAAAATGGGGACATTTTTGCCCTCCCCCAGTCCCCAGGAGCACTCTACAGGCCTTCCAAACCTTCTACGTGCCCCCCTTTTTAAAAAAAAAATGGGCAAAAACCAGCCCATTTTTCGCCCATTTTTGTGAAAAAATGAGGCCTGCAGAATGCTCCTGAGGGCCGGGGAGGCCAAAAAACTCATTCTCATAAGACACCGGTGCATCTTATAGTCCAAAAAATACGGGTATTCCTTTTTCCTTCTCCTCCCTCTCTCTCTCCTCTCTCTCTCTCTCTCTCTCTCTCTCTCTCTCTCTCTCTCTCTCTCTCTGGTAATGTCCAATTTTTATTGTTATCTAAATGCTTAGCACAATTTTTCTCAACCTGGGTAACTTGAAGAGGTGTGGACCTCAACTCCCAAAATTCCAGCAATGGAAGTTGAAAACTGGGAATTCTAGGAGTTGAATGACTCTTTGAATTGAAGAATTCTGGGAGTTGTCCACACAACTTCAAGGTGTCCACACATTTTTAAGTTGCCCAGGTTGAGAAAATTTGGTTTAGCAGTTCTCCAAATGAATGATCTAACATTGCCACTGTCATCTCTGCAGGCAAAGACTGGGAAAGAACTAAATATTATTGTCCTATTTAATAGATGTGTATCTAAGAAAAAAAAAGAAGTCCTTCTTTAGATGTCACAGGATTATTCCCTAGTAGCTTCTCCTGCTGAATATCTGTGGCTAACTATCATTGAAAGGAGCTATGTTTTAAAGTATACATATAAGAGAGAAAGAAAAATACTAAAATTGAATGGTATAAATCAATTCAACAACAGCAAATGTATAACAGGATTTCAGCAAAAGCTTTCATGTAATTTAATCTCAGTTACATCTATTCTTAAATTTGCCACTCCATATTAATTGTCAGCCCTGCTCAGTAGGTCAGGCCAGGAATCAAGTCCACATGAAGGCTAAGACTATTTTTTTCTAATTGAGATTAAATATAATACAGAGTCTTAATGGTTTGATTATGCTGTACTTCCTCCTTTTTATATTGTGGTGAATAAATGAAATTTCTTCCCAAAGTTATCTCATTGCTCTGGGCTTTAAAAATGTTTTAACCCCTTTTGCCTAAGTAACAGTTTCTGCACATTTTCATCAATGTCAATTTTCTTACACTCTACCTAATAGAGATTTGCAGTTCTCTAGCTAATTAAACTTGTCATAGTCTTTCCCTCGACTTGCTAAATTGAAATTACAAGAATAATATGGAGAGTTATATTTGAATGTGCTTTGTTTGAATCAGCTCCCGTCCTCTTCTCTATAAGGAACACAAAAAAATCAATCATCTCATATCAACTTACTCTGTTTGTTCAACAGCATGATCAACAGTAGCAACTTTTTTAGGACCTCAGATAATATTTTTTCCTAGTATCTGCTGACATCAGATAGATATGATGTCAGCAGATACTGATAGATCTGAGACATCACCCTGCCAACACAAGTGCATATAGTCAATGCTATGGTTTTCCCAGTTGCAATGTATGGCTGTGAAAGTTGGACCATAAGAAAGGCTGAGCACCAAAGAATTGAAGCCTTTGAACTATGGTGCTGGAGAAGACTCCTGTCAGTCCCTTGGACTGCAAGGCAATCAAACCGGTCAGTCCTAGAGGAGATCAACCCTGACTGCTCTTTAGAAGGCCAGATCCTGAAGATGAAACTCAAATACTTTGGCCACCTAATGAGAAGGAAGGACTCACTGGAGAAGAGCCTAATGCTGGGAAAGATTGAGGGGAAAAGAAGAATGGGACAGCAGAGAATGAGATGGCTGGTTGGAGTCACTGAAGCAGTAGGTATGAGTTTAAATGAACTCCAGAGGATGGTAGAGGACAGGAAGGCCTGGAGGAACATTGTCCATGGGGTTGCGATGGGTCGGACATGACTTCACAACTAACAGCAACAAGTATCTGCAGAAATGTGCTTTACCACAGAAATAGGATCAGGTCCTTTTTAAAAAAAATAAATAAAATAATGGTGTGTTTGTCATGATTATTTGAGATGCCTTAAATTTACAATGTAATTATATGTGATAAATGGATGCAATCTTTTTCTCACCACATAACAGCTGCACTTGGTAAATGGGGTCTTGAGGATCAGTCTTACAGATGGTAAGATATTATATCTAGTTTTGGGGGGGAGGAAAGGATCGCCACCTCAGGGAAAGTTAGATCCGTAGATATTTTGCTGGTTCCCAAGTGGCCTTGTTGATTTTGAAATTCTACCATATTGGGTCAACCCATCGTCATCTGCTTTATTCATCAGCGAGCAGATTTTTGATTTGGCCACACCTTGGAGAAATTAGGAATGGTACAGAAAGACTATTATTTCTGTTGTCTTGCTCCCTGGCAAGAGGCATCCCTAGTTCTCCACCTGAAACCAAGTTTGAGGAATCAGTCCATTCAAATCACATTTAAGTATTTCTCACATTCTCTAGAGCAGTTCTATTATCCACCAGACTGGAAAGAACCTAGAACCTAGAATAATAGAGTTGGGAGGTACCTCATATGTCTTCTAGTCCAACCCTTTGCTTGAGCAGCAGACCCTATGTCATTTCAGACAAATGGTTGTCCAGTCTGTTTTTGAAAGCCTTCAGTGATGGAGCATCCACAACTTCTGTAGCCAAGCTATTTCATTGGTTAATTGCTCTCACCATTAAGAAATTTCTCCTTAGTTCTAGGTTGCTTCTCTCCTTGGTTAGTTTCCAACCATTGTTTCTTGTTTTGCTTTTTGGTGCTTTGGAAAATTGTTTCATCTTTGTAGGAACCTCTCAAATATTGGAGCAGTAGTAGCATGTCTAATCTTTCTTTTCATTAGACTAGACATACCGAATTCCTTAGTCTCCAGCCTCTTAATCATTTTTGTTGCTCTTCTCTGCACTCTTTCCAGAGTCTCGACATCCTTTTTTTCTCACATGACCAGAACTGGATGCAGTATTCTTAGTGTGGTTTTACTAAGGCTTTGTAAAGCAGTACCTGACCTTGACATGATCTTGATTCTATCCCACTATTAAAGCATAACATTCATACATGCACATGTTGTTTTTGTAAGATTTAAACTGTATCCTTTAAACTGTAAGTACAGTTTAAAGATAATATTTCATATTTCTTTATGGAATGCAGAACATAAAATTTACTCTTCCTTTCAGTCCCTTTCCTCAGTACTTGGCTCCTATAGTGTGGCTTTTCATTTGCTCTTGCATTCAACTGAATCAGTGAAATATTGTCCCTGATAATCCTTCTCTGTCTTTCACTTCCTTTGATACTTACACTTAGGAAACACTTAAAGGAAAAATGTTCCTATTTTCTATTCTCAGCTTTCAAAATCTTAGCTGGCAATGAGCAAAACAGCCCTTCAAGAGTTTTGCAGCTGTATTTTCCAGAGAAATTAACTCTGCCCCTTTTAAGGATAGAAGCATTACTCAAATGACTTGAGAACAGATTGTTTAAAATGACAGTAATGAGGATATAGAATACTTTTTTCCCCCTTTCCCCCTTTCCATCTTTCTTTCAAGAGGAAATTACTCAAAATGACTAACTTACTGCATATTATTATGGAACTTTTTTCCTATGTTATTTATTAAGAATATACAAATATGACTTTTTATTATTATTATTATTATTATTCAAGTATTGACTTCCAAACTAAGCATAAATTAGATACATTACTAAGCACAGTCAATAGAGATTATACGTTCATGTATACACATCCACATATACACAAAAACACAGATACAACCATTCCTACCAACCAAAGTCACTGTGAACACATACTTAAATACCCAAACAGCCTCTTCCTAGAGATAAACATTCCAAGCAAGTTCTTCTAAGAATCCTGTAGTTTTATTTCTAATCAGCTTTTTCCATACTCAGAACACATGTTCCCCATTTCAGCCAATTCAACACACAACCTTTGGTGATCAGAATCACGGCCACCTTACAAGAAAAAGCATCAGGGGCACTGATCAACAAGAGCTTGGTTGTTTTCTTGTAGACATTTCATTACCAAACCAGCTAACATATGTTGAATAATCCCAAATATTATTTTGTCAGCATTATAGTGAAAATTATAAATAGCTATACATATTCCAAAATAAAAGTCATATTAAATGATACTTGTAGCTCAACCCCATTAACTATTCCTTATACTGTAAATAGGTTTTCCAATTGCTGGAGCAAACTTGTTTCAAGACTTAGCTCCCCTAAATTTTCCAGGTTTTAGTAGATTCCAGCATTTATCAAGAGCTCGGAAACAGTTTTCCAAGATCATTTTCATAGGTCTGCATCCTTATACTCAAACAAGCAGACAGGTACACCTCCAAATTAAGGAGGAGCTGGGCTTATGATCTGAGTTCGCATGGCAAAAGATCATCTGAGTGAAGATGCATATTCTCAGTTAGATCCTGGCAAGCCTCTGGCTGATTGTCAGTGACTGTGGAAGTGTTCAATTTAGTGTTCAAAATGAAGTGGTATTGCAGGTGATGCTTTGATTATATTTTCTTCACTTCCATTTGATCATACTTTGTAAATAATGAAATTGGGACAGTTTGCCAACTGGACTGTCTTTGAGGTGCATTTGCTTTGAGGTGCATTTGCTTACAGCGGTCAGTTAGTCTCTTGAGGCTGTACAACACAGCTCCCCAATGCAGTGACTCATTGTGTTTCTGCATCTGAAACTTCTGCTTAAGCTCTTTCTTTTTTCTTTTATTTCAGAATTCATGATGCATGTGAATGGGATGTGGAGCCACACAAAAAGTATCATGTGGTTTCTTCTGTTCTGTATGTTTGTCAAGAAGGTGTTTCCTGCTGGAGATGACTCCATCATTGCTACTAAGAATGGAATGGTCAAAGGTATTTATTTACCTGTGCTTGGTGGAACAGTAACTGCATTTCTTGGGATTCCTTTTGCAACACCACCTATTGGTAGACTACGTTTCAAAAAGCCAGAATCCCGAGAAGAATGGAAAGGAACTTGGGATGCCACCAAATTTGCCAACTCTTGCTTTCAACTCCTAGATAATACTTTCCCTGGCTTTGAAGGGTCAGAGATGTGGAATCCAAACACAAAACTTAGTGAAGATTGCCTTTATCTCAATGTATGGGTTCCTTCTCCCAAGCCTAAAAATGCATCGGTCATGGTATGGATTTATGGAGGTGGCTTTCACAGTGGAACATCTTCACTCTCTGTTTATGATGGCAAGTTCCTAGCTCGTGTGGAAAGAGTCATCGTCGTATCAATGAATTATAGATTAGGGCCTTTTGGATTCTTGGCTTTGCCAGGAAATGAAGATGCCCCAGGAAATGTAGGTTTGTTTGATCAAAGACTCGCACTTCAATGGATCCATGACAACATAGGAGCCTTTGGAGGTAATTCTAAAAGTGTGACCTTGTTTGGAGAAAGTGCTGGAGCAGGGTCTGTTAGCTTTCATCTTCTTTCTCCTCAAAGCTATCCTCTCTTCACTAGGGCGATCATGCAAAGTGGATCTGGGAATGCTCCTTGGGGTGCAATTCTACCATCTGAAGCAAGAAAAAGAACTCTAGTTTTAGCTGAACTCCTCCACTGTACTGGCAAAAATGAAACTGAGATTATATTCTGTCTTCAAAACAAGGAACCCCAAGAGCTATTGGAGAAAGGAGAAGCTGCATCAATATACACCGGTCTTATAAGTTTGCAGTTTTGTCCCATAGTTGATGGTGATTTTCTTGCTGAAATGCCAGAAATATTGCTGAAAAATGGAGACTTTAAACAAACACAGATCTTGATGGGAGTAAACAAAGATGAAGGTACTACTATTCTTGTGTACGGTGCTCCTGGCTTCAGCAAAGATAACAACAGTGTTATCAATGAAATGGAATTCCAGGCAGGTTTGAAAGTTGCTTTTCCGCAATTAAATGAAATGGGATTGGAATCTATTGCATTTCATTACACAGACTGGGAAGATGAGAAGAATATTTTCAATTATCGTGATGCCATGGATGATATTGTTGGGGATTACTATTTCACATGTCCTGCAGTAGAGTTCATAAAACAATTTGCCTTGACAGGGAACAATGCTTTTTTTTACTACTTTGAGCACAGATCTTCAAAACTTGCTTGGCCAGAATGGATGGGAGTTCCACATGGTTATGAAATTGAGTTCGTATTTGGATTACCTCTAGAGCGAAGAATTAATTATACTAAAGCAGAGGAAGCACTGAGCAGATCTATACTGAAGTATTGGGCAAATTTTGCAAAAACTGGGTAAGGACTGTCTTATTTTATAATACAGCAACTTTTTTTGTTATTTCTCTTCAGAATTTGAAAGTATTTTTTCAGTGCCTGATTATAAGAATGACATCTGGCTATTCCTGCTCCATTATTGATATTAATATAATTGTTCACAGATACTGGCAATGATGTTAAAAATAATATGGGATACTGATATTGATATCAATGACTGAGTATAATATTTGCAATGGAGAATCTGCTAGTTATTTCTCTAGACAAGATACTTCCCAATACTTTCAAAAGATGACAATGTTGGGTTAAATTATATTAAGACAGAATATGCTTTGGTATTATTAGTCATCTACTATCTTTCCAGAAAACTGAACCTTCATTTATCATCACAACAGCTGATGTAATTGAAAGCCAGTGTTTCAAATTTCAAAGTATGACATTCCATGTTCTCTCAGCTCTTCTACCATCATGTTCTTTAAAACACAAAGAGGAAAATTTGAAAGGCAAGGAATAATTGTAAGAAATGACCATTAGCATCAAGACATTGAATCAATATACATTAAATATAAGAAACTATAACAAAGTAGAAATCCCATGTATGTCTTTTTCTCTGTCCATTCATCCAAATATATTTCATGTTTTCAAACATGAGTGTAGTAGCAAAGATTGGGTCATATGTATATGTGCCTTTAAGGGGCAATCTGAGAAACAGCCAATGATCTGTGAATGAATTCTTGAATTTATTACAACAAAAGTCTCCTGACCAATTTCTCAATAAGTTGAACAGAACAGAACAGAACAGAAAAAAACAGAACAGATTTTTTTTTTTTATTTGATTTATATGCCGCCCTTCTCCGAAGACTCAGGGCGGCTTACAATGTGCTCAGCAAGAATTTTATTGGCCAAATGTGATTGGACACACAAGGAATTTGTCTTGGTGCGTATGCTCTCAGTGTACATAAAAGAAAAGATATGTTCATCAAGAATCATAAGGTACAACACTTAATGATAGTCATAGGGTACCAATAAGCAATCAAATCATATTAGGAAACAGTTAATATAAATCGTAAGGATACAAGCAACAAAGTTACAGTCATACAGTCATTAGAGGGAGGAGATGGGTGATAGGAACAATGAGAAGATTAATAGTAGTGCAGACTTAGTAAATAGTTTGACAGTGTTGAGGGGATTATTTGTTTAGCAGAGTGATGGTGTTCAGGGAAAAACTGTTCTTCTGTCTAGTTGTTCTGGTGTGCAGTGCTCTATAGCATCATTTTGAGGGTAGGAGTTGAAACAGTTTCTGTCCAGGATGTGAGGGGTCTGTAAATATTTACACAGCCCTCTTTTTGACTCGTGCAGTAAGTATGTTATTGATATTCTTATCTTTAATTTGTCTTAAGGTTAACTTTTTGCATGGTACAGAATAAAAATAAGACTAAAATTCCAATCCAAATTTCAGAGTACATTTTTAAAAGATAGGTCTATGGTAGGAGTGAAATGTACCTAGATCAATTATATGCAACAGATAAAATTGCTTAGCATTTTCCCTTCTCTTTTATTTCTGATATAAAAATTCATGCAGAGCATCCACATTCATCTAGAAGCTGACAAATCAATCAAGTTCTATTTTCTTAAGTTTTTTTCCCCCATTTCCATGTCAGTTTATAAGCTCTCTTTGAAAAGAAAATTAGAGAAAGCAGAATATGATTTATGAAATTCTTTCCAATTCCTTTATAAACAGTGGCCATAGTATGCATTTCATGTTTGCATATCCACCTACATAATGTATCTAAGTGTGTATGTGTGTGCATGTGTGCCTGAGAAAGAGAAAGAAAAGGAGACAGAGGGGGAGAGGGGGGGGGGGCAGGGAGGATATTTTAATCATGGTATATTCATATGTGTTGTATTCTCCCTCTGTGTTACTGCTCTTATCTCATGTTATATTTATTTATATTGCACTGGGAAACACAGGTTGGCTGTATATGCTCAGCTCCAAGTCTTATGACCAGAGGAAGAATGGGGTTGCCCCTTTCATTGGGATGCACTGGGGAATTTTTTTTTTCTATAGTCCCAGCCCATTTTTAAATTTGGCCTTTCTTTTGCTAGCTTCTCTTCCATGTACCCTAGTAAACTGGAACAGTTTTCAGAAATGGAGTAGCACTTCCCCATTTGAAAATGGTGCACAATCTGGGGGTCTTTCTAGTCTCACAGGTCCTACTCTATGATCAGGTAGCAGCTCTATGCCAGGAAGGTCTTTGCAGTTTCATTTGATGTAGCATTTTCACCGTTTCCTAGAAAAGAAGGTCCTTCACACTATCACTCAAACCCTACAACTCAATTATTGCAATGTGTTTTACATGGGCTTGCTCTTGAACATCAGCTAGAAAATTCAACTGGTCCAGGACACAGAAGCATAAGCAGTGGTGGGCCTAGCTCAGTAAGCCCATGCAATATCCCTGTTTTGAGAGCTGCACTGATTATGTCAGGGTTCCAGGGACCCTCAACCAATGAAGACTCCAAGGCCAGCAGTTCCTCAAAGTTGCATTTTATTAGAGATATCATATTGGCACATCTGGGAAAACCCAAATCTGAAAGCTCCCGGGTTTTCCCCACCCAAAGGAAAGTCGAAGTCCTTTTCCTTGCACTCACATGTCCATCACATGGTCCAATTAATCCACCATCCCAACTGGATATGCCTCCCAGTCATGCCACTCCATGTGCAGGCTGAACATCCTTGACTCTCAGAGAAAAGAATGTTGTTATGGCTAAATACTTCTGCCAACTCCATGCAAACCCCACTCCCAGTTTCCCACAGACTAAGTGTAGCAGCCCTGAAGATCCAAAAGAAAAGATGGCCTCCAGGGCTGACAGATTGCCAATTTGCTTCTGGACATGATTCAAGATTCTGATGATGATCTATAAAGTCCTGTCTCCTGTGGTATCAGCAGGGCTTGTTCAACAAAGTTGCAACATTCTGGGATCCTTTTATTAAGCATTGCTATCTATAAAGATCCTAGAAGCATGCTTCTATATCATGGTGAATGTCTTCTGAAATAAGGCTTCCTTCAGAGATCTAGGTTTCTCCAACCCTGTTGCCATTCCAAAGGGCCTTAAAGATCTCTTGGTTCTTTTATGTCTTGGGCTAAGATGGTTGCAGTTCCTTGTTTGATGTATTGTTTGTTGCTGATGGGATTCACCAAATTATTTATTGTTATATGCTTTATTTTTCCAAAGTTTCTTTTTAAGCTGTGAGATATCCAGTGTCAATTGGATTTGGGTGATACCAAAATCAAATAAAAAAAGAAATAAAGAAATATTGCCAATGGATGGACTTCCAACCCTTTTCTTTACTATATTATGTACGGTTGGGAAGAATAAATATGGTATGCACCTTTGTGTGCATTTCTTTGTATTTAGTTGCATATTTCCTAATAAACATATTTCATATGTGAATTTTTCCATCAAAATAAATATGTTGTAATATTAAATAAAATATGACTATTAAACTATAACTGCTTTGGGTTTTCCCATTTTCACTCATGCAAATCAAATGAATATTTCCAATATGCAAAATTGAATGTTTTCCAATATGCAGAATTCAAGGGATAATTTTCTAAAGTATAGACTGTGCCTTGGAAGCTAAGAGTATTTTTCATATTTGCCATAAATGTGCAATAGCAACATATAATGATAGTGATTATTTGTTTTCCTAGGTTGCAAAACTAGTAAGACTTTGATATGCACCATGCCCTGCCAGCTAATGCAAAACTCTCAGCACATAGAGCTGTAGCTTACATTTGAAATGGTGTGAAGATTCTTGACTTTAATTTTTCAAACACAAATACTCACCCCCATAACACTTATAGGCTTTGGAGAAATACAAATGCTGGAGAAAAATAGAACTATTGAGCCCTACAATCAGTATCTTTCTATCTGTAAATAAGTCTGGGCTTCCTATCCAGATGGGTTTTTTTTCTCAAAGAAAATATTCTGATGCAATAGAAAATATTCTGATGCAAATATTCAATGCAATTCTTGCATTGTTGTTGTTTTTTATCTGGCCTAATTTGGGAAGAGGTTTTAGATTTTTTTTGTAAACACAACTTCTCCTTGTAGGTTCCAATACAATTATCATATACTTTAGTTAGGGAAGAGAGAAGTTTCAGATCAGGGATTGTCTTATACCCAGTAAATCAATATTTTTAAAGCAAGGTGGCTTGTAGCATATCATTTTGAGAGATTCCAAATTATGTTAGTAGTAATGTACAGAAACAACATGATAATGACAGAGAGGGAAGCAAAGTAATTTGTACTGTACCTCTAAATAATAATGGCTCATCTGCCAATACATTATTTTGTTTTCAGAATTCAAAGTTCAGAACTCTTTCAGAATTCTCTCTCCAGTTGTCTTTCTCCTTCCTGGCTTCAATTAAATCTGAAAGAAATCTGGCTTACTGGTTTTTTTCAGACTAGGAAGTACCCCTTGGAGGGTAGAGCCGAGGATTTTGTTCAGTATCTGTATGACAAAATCACTCAGATTCGGGAAGATTTGGACTCCGACTGGGTAGTCTCAGGGGGAGAGACAGGGGCAGGTCTTGAGAATGTTATCTGGGATGAGTTTGATCCTGTGACCCCTGAGGACGTGGACAGGATTCTGAGTAGACTGAACGCGACCACTTGTTTATTGGACCCGTGTCCTTCCTGGTTAGTACTGGCTTCCCGGGAAGTGACACGAGGCTGGCTCCAGGGGATTATAAACGCTTCGCTGAGTGAGGGTGACTTTCCCGCCGCCTTGAAAGAGGCGGTGGTGAGGCCTCTCCTCAAGAAGCCTTCCCTGGACCCGGCAATGTTGGTAAATTATCGTCCGGTCTCCAATCTTCGCTTTGTTGCGAAGGTTGTTGAGAGTGTGGTCGCGCAACAGCTCCCCCAGCACCTGGATGAAACGACGTATCTGGATCCGTTCCAGTCGGGCTTCAGGCCCGGGTACAGCACGGAAACGGCATTGGTCGCGTTGGTTGATG